CTCTGGCTTCTTTACTAATCCTTCCATCTAAGAAGAACACACAGACGCACCAACTGTGGGTGCTTCCTCAGCCCAAGGAAGGGTTTTTCAATTCGAAACCTTGCTAGGACATATTTCTCTAACTATTCAGTTGGTCTACTAAATGATACCAGATTGATCCAAATAACCTTGTCTGCCAGTGCCATGTCCTTAGACCAACATCCCCAGCACCTGTCCCCGGGTCAGTTGACCAGAAAGACGCAGGGCCCTGGGCACATCTAAGCCCCAGGGCTGGGGCTGGCAGGGAGAGTGCTCTGGCAGCTGCTGGAGAAGAAGCTCCTGCAGGAAAGGAAAGAAAGGCTCTGTCACAGTTTGACTGCCTGAGATGCTGCTGGTGCTACTGTGCTGCAGTGCACTGCTTACCTGTTGTTATTTGAAGTGGTGGACTGGACTGAGGCTGTAGGGGAGGAGGAGACCTCACAGGGGCACACTACTATGTTGTGTAGAGGCCCCAGCACCAGTGAGGGTGTGCCTTAACACATACACTCACTGTCACCCATGGTCACAAGTTTTGCTTGTCAGTAGCCTGAGGTGCCGTTTCCCAGAAACCCCTGCACCTATCTCCTTGAAACTTGGCAAGCCTCATACCCTCAGAAGGGGCTACCATGCCTTCTGTTTTCATCCAAATCTGCCCTAACACACACACACACACACACACACACACACACAGACACACACACACAACACGAGTTTTGTTTTCAAGATTCTGAGGTGCAGTTACCCAGAAGCCCCAGCACCTATCTCTTTAAAACTTGTCAGGCTTCATGCCCTCAGAAGGGGCTACCATCCCAGCAATTTTTTGTCTGAATCAGCCAAAAAATGACAAAGTTATAGGTATTTCAGAGATTCCCCATTATAGTCTATGGCTGAATCTCTCTGAATCGGCACCAAATCCGAATTGAATACTTCCCTATTTGCACAGGCCTAGTGTTTGTGCCTGAAAGCTTGTAAAGAACAATTTTTCCAACTATTTATTTGGTCTAATAAAAGATATCACATTTACCCAAGGAGTCAGTGTGCAAGTTGCAACGGTCTAGTTGGTCTACTAAAAGAATTCGCCTCTAGCACACTGACTAATTGTATTCTTAGATCAACATTGCTACAGGCTTTATCCTTGATACATTTGATACGTTAACCCAAAGAACCTTGTCTGCAAGAAGTGATGAATGCCTTCTTTTTTCATGGTCTTCTATAGGTCCTAGACATCATGCACAGAACTGAAGCAGCAGCTCCCACAACCTCTTTCTTAGCTTGGTGCTTCAAACAACTTTCCCTCATTCCATTTCCAGGTTTCCTTTGCACCTACCTGCATAGGAAGTTACAGGGAAGGAGGAATATGGCTAAGAGAGCTAGGAAAAAGTCCAAGAAATGGAGAGGGCTGGCTTCTCTATACAGTTGCTGCTGCTTTTCAGACCTGTGCTGGGGCCTCTGAGAAAATGCTAACTTTTCATTTGCATGATCTTTGGTTTTACTTTACAAAGAACAGATCCAAGTAGTAAGTATTCAGACAGATTCTCAAGTTGAATTCAGCTCTTTATTGCTCTGAGATAATAGTAATAATATATACTTTTTTGTTGGAAAAACTTTAAAATCAGATATAAAAAATATCTATCAGCCTTTGTAGACTTATGATGTAGGGATGATAAAAAAAAAATCACCATTTATTCACTTACGATTAATATACCAAAAATATTTTGTAAGTATGCTAAATCCAATTTAAAATATGGGAGATCAAAGTAGGTAATATATTACTGAATTAGTTATACAGTTACTTTGAAGTCTCAGCACCTGTGTGTAAAAAGACAAAAGATTAAATCAATGGCTGGCCAGAAGTTTTAAGTGGTGTAGTGTACAACTGAATCAATGAGAAGAACACTTAGAACTAAGTGATTTAGTTACATATGGAGTAGATTACCCTGTAGTGGCCAGAAGCTATTATGCAAGCAGAGTGCTCCAATATTAAGCAAGTAATAGATATTACACTTACTAATACAGAGATCTCAATGAAATCTTTACTAAAAAGAAATTAGAGATGCCATGATACTTAATTTAATGGAGAAATAAGAGCCAACCAATTATCAAAAGAACACAATTTGGTTGTAGGACAGGTTGTTTCTTGCTCCCACACAAGTCTCAGGAAATATCGTTCCTTCAGTCTAATGAAGGTTGGGGAGACTATCATAAAGACAAAAGAGGAGAGACACCCCTCTGCCCGGAAATGATGAAGGGAACTTAATTATGCTTTTCCCTCCTATTATTATTATTTTTATTATTTTCATAACTGGTTAATCTATTGAAGACTTACTCTGAGGGCCAGGCTATAACTAGTGTACAGTATTGACTGATAGATCCTAGGGATGTAAATATTATTTAAAAAAATATTCGTTTAACCTCCTCTAATTATATCAGTTAAATGACTAACCAATAACACAGCTGCTGCTGGGAGCAACTCCAGGCTCCTGGGGCCATCTGACTGGGGGAGTGGGGGGCAGGAGGGAGAGGAGGCCAGTCCAATCAGACAACATAGCCTACATGAAGGCCCTCTGGGAGGGAGGGAGCACATCTGAATGAGCAGCTAACTGCTTAACTGATGAGTCTCTAAGCTGCTCCCTGTTTTCCTCTTAGACTATGGGTACTAGTTCCCCTCACCCTTCCTGCTCGCCCTGTTGCCTTCCGATTTCTGATGGGGCACTGCGCAGCTTCCCTTACCCTCTTCCCCTGCTAGACTGCACCTGACCCTAGCTGAAGGATAACCAGTAAGCTAACTGGTTATCACTGCACTTATCAGTTAAATTATTAACCTTTCAAATCCCTAATGAACCCCAGACCACTTGGGAAGCTAAATGCAAGCAGTCCAATAAACAAACAACAAAAACAGACAAATGGTTTAGGAGTAACCATACTATGTGAAAGTCAATTTTTTGATACCACATATACCACATATAAGAATACTGGATATATGCATTGTTTGCTTAATTATGTAATACAATGCTAGTCCCACCTTTTAAACTACTATTTAGATTTGAGATTCTAAAAAATACCAGCTTTCTGCATGAGCTAAGTGCATCAATTGCTTAAGTGCACAGGAACTTGTTGGTCCCACTATCAGATTTATAATGTAACTGAGCTCCATTTACCATATTTACTTGCAGGCCACATGTACCTTCCCCCAAAAATTAGCCCTCTAAAATTACAGTGCCTGTCTTAAATAGGTGGGCTGATTTTTATTTGCTGGGATAGAAACACGGATGAATAGCAGAGCAATCTGCTTAATTCTGGCTACCAAGATGGCTGCCACTTGCTTCTGGCTCCAATAAGCAGACAAGGTGGAGTCCTGTGTTGACGCTGTCACAGCCATAGCTATTGGTTGAGCATTGTAGTTTGTGCCTGAAACTGAGCGGGCTCAGTGCAAGTAGGCTGCTGCATGCAGTCTATAGTATGTCAGTGAGGCTTATAGTATATACGTAGTACTTTACTATTTGCAGGAACTTCTATAAAGAACTAATTAAAATAAAGAAACCTTTGTTACTGCCCTTGTAAGGGTCTTAGGCCTAGCCTTGTTACCGTCCTGCTGCACTAGAAAGTTCCTGCTGCCTCACCCAGACCCTCTTCTGGGATGCCACACTTCCTAGACACAGTTTTTCCAGTCTATTACACAAGTCAGTCAAGCATTTGGAAGAATTTTTTTTCTATGTTCTGCCTTCCAAAAACATGCCTTATTGGGTGACATGACTTATTAGAGGGGGAGAGGGGTGAGACATGAAAATATGGTAACTGTATAATTAATTGAATTGATTGGGACCTGTCACTGTCTAGGCTGCTATTAGACGAAGGTAACAAGTCGTAAGTGGGAAAAAGTTTGGCTCACATTATTCCTGCAGTTAATGAAAATGGCTTACAATAAGCCATTTTCTGTTCTGAGCACCTAAATAAGGTTCATGGTACTTTTATTAAAAAGAAAAAATAGATTTTGTACAGAGGTTATGCATATTAAAGATCTTCCATAGGCACCAATTAAGAAATTAAACAATATAGGCGTAAGGAATAAAAATTAAAAACTATTATCATATCATACATTCTATAAATCTGAATGAATGCGGTTGAACAAATCCAGTTCCTTTCTAACATATTTGACGGTAGGCAACAGGTAGGTGAAGGAGTTCTTCAAATCGCCTAGAAAAAAGTATACCATGATAAACAAATAATTGTCTATATCTATTTAAATTTCCTCCATCCCAAGGCGTGTGGGGCCAGATTTTCAGCTAACACACATGGAAGTCCATGTGCCTAGACTTATAACAGCTGACAATACGGCCTTTCAGCATACTTTACACAGAGGAACTGCTTTACTTGGCATTGAAATGCAGCTATAACTGGAGCTTCAGCAGCTTAGAGCAACTGTACAAAACAATTCAACAGCCATCAGTAATAGCTCCTTTCACTTGCTCCATCTAAAGTAGTGAACTCCATTAAGAAAATTGTACAAGGGAAACTAAATGCTCTTTTACTCAACCGAGTAAGAGTTCAAAGTCCACCAGAGAAAACAATTTTTTCTATGCATGAGACAAATCCAACTATCATTATTGTAATTATGACTGATATTTGAGCCTGATGCAATGGGCAGTCATTTTACACAAGATACCTGTGGAAGCAACACTACATGGGACACAACTACAGATATCCAGCAACAATGAACCATATTATGATGATCTATGTATAATAAAGAAAATGGAAAAGATGGTAAGTAAAAAGACAGGAAAGCTGGGGAAGAGGGATGGGAGAGAAAAGAGTGCTAGGCTGTCCTCTTTCTGAAGCTTGAGAAATCTGACTGAAGGTACATTTGGAGTATCACTGGATATCAAAAATGACTCCGAGTTCCTTTCATGAGAATGTAATTCAACAACAGTAAGGGTGAGTAACTAGAAAATCAAAGACCAGATTTTTCTTTTCATTTAACCAACCTTTAGCTGGTGAGAATGGTTGAGAAGCAAGAGGATCAGAGCAAAGTTCTAATGGAAACTGTAGCTGCTCTTCATTGTCCGTAGAGGCTTAAACAAAAAAACCCAAAATATACAAACACATTAAACAGATAATTAAAAAAAAAAAAAAGTCTTGCCCATATAAATACGAACTACAGATGTAATGGAGTAAGAACTGACCAGAGTACATTTACTCAACATGAACACATCACAATGTATGCTGTGTGTAGATAAACAGTTAGATGTTTGCTAATACAGCTGCAAAATGCCTGAATAATGTAGAATCTGAATTCTACTCAACAGGGCTTGATTTAAAAGTATTTTAGAGAAAAGACCTTTAAACCAACCTCTGCATTTTAGGTCTCCCTCAACTTAGTTAACAACCCAAGGTAAATTTCCCATCTATTTTTCTACAACATATCCTTACTTACCCCAGATTTAACATGTGAAAGAAGGGGGGCTGATCAGCTTGGATACTTAAGTCTACTATCCACATGCAGCAAATATTAGATGTAGAAGCAAGCCTCATGAGTGAGGTTAATGTATGGCTGAGAAGAGCCATTTACAGGGTTGAAGAGACTATTCTATCTTTAAACTGAGTCCATTTATTTATTTTGTTGATAGGGAGACAAGTATAGCAATTATCCTTCAATACTAGAAGCCAGACTGCATATATCATGATATTTCACAGAAGCTCGAGGAACCCTGAGAAGGAAATGGCTTTCTATTATTATTGAACTATATTAGTGTTAGAAACATATTGCTTTGTAGCTCAGTATCAATTGCCAAATTATGAGAATAAGCACAAACATTCTGTGACAATTACAATCTGTTGTTCAAAATATAGTGAAAGCAGAAAAATGTGAGAGCCTACAGGGTATAGTTATACTATTCATACTTTAGATTTAATTAAAAAAGTATCAGAAAAACTGACACGTTGAATATAAAAAGGCAAGAATTCTGTTTCACATCATACTAATCCTGTTGGTTATAAGGAGTTCTCCAATGAAGATCTAGGTTGTTTAACTGAAATTAAAAAGTAATATAATTTGCTGCATAAAGTAAATTTCTTTCCAAGAGAAATTATTATAAAAATTGATTAACCTGAAATCCCTCAAAATGTTTACCTCTCTGCAATGATTTTTCTGCAGGGACTTTGCTGGTTTGTAAAGCTTGATTTTTGTCAAATGTTATTGCAACTGCTGTGACAGCGACCTGCAATCATAAACACATAGCACACAGGTTTAATGTAAAATCTCTCTTGCACTGTCTTCCAAAATGTTGTAAGGATTAAGGTTCTACACTGGGGAAAATTTAATACCATGTAGATACTAAGAGTATATTCTGATTTTTCTTCTTTCAGTACGTACATTCTTTATAAAACTGTACTCTAAGGTATGGGAAGGCAACCGCTGGCATGTGTGGCACACAAAGGCATTTTGCTTGGCACTCAAATCTCAGGGAAGGGGCTGGCACTTTGCCCAAAAACACTGCCAACCCCTATTCTCCCGGAGCACCTCATGTATCAGTGCTGCCCCTGTGCTTCAAAATGGTGGCGGGGCAATACATGAGACAGGGGAGGCTGCTGGAGCACAGTAACTGCCACGATCCAGCAGGCTTGATTAATTGAGTCTGCTCTCATGTGCTGGAATTATAGCGTGTCAGAGCAGCCTCTAAATTAGAGTAATTTATTAGTTATCAAAATTATAATTAGTGATACAATGATGAAATACAGCAGATAAGCACAACTTTCAACAGAAATGATCATTAGAGAACTGAGATTTATTGTGAAATGCAACCTAACATTATTTTAGGTAAGCTTATGATTTTGTTCACAAAACTTTCTTTAACTAGATTTTTAAAGTATTGTAATAAATCTTTTGCCTTCAAGTTGCAAAAGCATCTTGTAGCATCAGTTAATTAAACTTCATGGTACTTTTAAGATAGGCAAGATACATACACAGAGATCTTTTCACTGACTGGAGAAATTAAGTCACACTTTCTGTTGTCAACAGAAGCTGCAGAACAGTTCATAGCAGCAAAGTACACAATTCTTTCAAAAGCAATGAGGATGTACATTAGATTAATTTACAACAGCATGAAAATTTAGGTAACCATAATGAAGTTATCAGAGTAAGAATTTAGCAAGGACATAGCCCTATTTTTATGGTACACACCATGGGATCTCTCATGGTTTTTAGTTCAGACTTTCAGTTTCTAACCCCGTATGAAAGATGGCATTCCAGCGTCCCCTAAGGCCTCCTTGTACTCTAGTTCTTAAAATCAGAGGAGGAAGAATTACTAAATCAACACAGTTCTTTAACCCTCCATAAACATAATAGTGACTCAGTCTAGCTTAGTTCATTTCACAAGAAATAATGTAATCAGAACAAAAGGCTACAGACATTACAGGCAAACAAACTTAGCTACCTGAATTAATTCATCCTCTGGAAGAGCAACAGTGAAATTTACGTGGCAAAGGCAGCAGGGAATCATGGAACGTAGTTTAAAATATAGACTCTGTTGAATATAAGACACGATTTGTGTTATTCTATATTACTGTTATAGTTATCGCTGATTAATTTTGGAGACAAAAGACAATTCCATTTTTGGAATTAAAAAATCATTTCTCTAATAATTTCTTTTAAAACAATTAGTGAGATATAAACAGTTATGATTAAGTTTAGTGCATTCTGCTGCAACAGTTTTAACACTAGTGCTTCTGTAACAATCTGAGACAAAGAGAAGATTCTTACTTCATGACTCTTGGAAATTGTTAGTATTATATTCAGCATTTTTAATATTTTGAGAAATGCTTACAAATTAGATATTCTAAAATAAACCAAATCTAACTGTATAAAATAATCCTAAACAGACTTCAAAATGTTACACTTAAGTTTACTTGCGTTTAAATGAATTCATCTGCTGTAAAACTGTTTTTTGTATGTCATAAAGTTTCATGATACCACTGTTTAACTAAAAACATATTTCTAAATAGTAGGATTCCTACCTTAAGCAGATTCTCACAGAGATCATTAAAGTTCTTGTTAAGCATTTGATTCGTTAGGGTAATGTTGCTTAATCTGGATACTCTTACCGATGTGAACATCTGAAGCAGAAAGTTACAAGCTTGCCTTAAATTTTCCTCAATTTTACATTTAAATGTTGCAACAGGAATAAAGCAAATGATTATAAACTGATTGCTTGTAGTGATGATTGAGACAAAGAAAGAAAAAACTAAGGCCTATGGCCTAATACTGAAAGTAAGTGCTTAACTTTTATATAAATTTACAAAGTAAAGGAAGTGTCCAGAAAAACTGTTGTAAGTATGTATAAGAATATGAAAAAAAAAAAAAAAAAAAAATCAAGGGCGAAGTAGTGTTGTGGGAGGAGCCATGCTCCACTTCGCATGTACATATAAATAACATGTTCAAATTCATCTGAACTATAAAATCTAAGTTTCATAGATTTCATAGACATTAGGGCTGGAAGGGACCTCGGAAGATCATTGAGTCCAGCCCCCTGCCCAAAGGGCAGGAAGTCAGCTGGGGTCATAGGATCCCAGCAAGATAAGCATCCAGTTTGCTCTTGAAGGTGTTCAATGTAGGCGCTTGAACCACCTCCGGTGGCAGGCTGTTCCAGACCTTGGGGGCTCAGACAGTAAAGAAATTCTTCCTTATGTCCAGCCTGAAACGGTCTTGTAGTAGTTTATGACCATTCGACCTAGTCGTCATCCCTTGGGGCGCTCTGGTGAACAAAC